ACTGGAGGGAGAGAGGTCGAGGGGTGTAGAGGTGATAATGCAGGATGTCAGCAGCAGTGTGGACGGCCAGTGTTGAGAGAGGGAGGAGAGGCAATGGGGCAGGCTGGCACAGGAGGGAGTCAAGATGTGAGTTCAGTGAGCGAGACAGGGAGCTGCTTCTCACTGCGAGAGTTTAACACCTAGGATGGCATTGAGAGCAGTAATTGATCGCAGACTGGAAGCAGGATCAGTTCATGCTGCATGATTTCTATTCTGGTGGTCATAGGGACAGCCGAGGATGAGTTTCATCGCCTGTTTTGGATTTTCTCTATGCTTTGTTTCTCGTTGGGGAGGCAAACTACAAGGACAGGGGAGACATAATCTATGACAGCTCTGACGATAGCAATGTACGAGGCGTGGGACCCTGACAGAGGCCCTTTGAGGCCGTGGGTAGGGGACTGGAGGGCCCTCGTTCGTTGGCAGCACTGGGAGATGACGTGGGCGGCGACAGGAGGTGGTGGCGCTGGTAGTGGCTGCACGTAGACCAAGGCCTGAGGTCTGGCGAACGTATAGGTTGTCTATGTTGCACTGTAGTAATTTGGAGGAGAATATCATCAGCGTAGTTACTACAGTGCAACATGAACAACCTATACTCTCCACATTCGCCGGGACCTGTCAAACACTCGGGCTAGTCATCTCACACACTAAAACCAAGTTCATCTCGCACTTCCGGCGTCAGACTCCGCTGACTCTGCAAGGACAAGACATCGACTGCAAACTCCTTGTATATTTTGATTGGGAGGTCAATTGGGGTCGTGGAGCATTTGGATTTAAATTTCAGGAGTTCGTTGGCGATTTCATATGGTTGAACACTGGGAGGGGGAGGGAAAGGTAAGTACGCCGGGAGGAGAGTGAGGTCAAGACAGTAAGGTATGATATATGGTAGCAAAATGGTTATCAATTATCTCAGCTGCCTCCTCACTAGGTAAATGTGAGAAGAAAGGAAGTGTGGGAGACTGACGGTTGAGACCAGAGATCTTTTACCTTGGAGTTCGATTGACCGATGCCGACTTCCTTGAGGCAGTGCACTTTCTTGGATAATAAGTTTTGGCCGACTTGATTTCCCTTGATGACTTGGTTACGTAGACTTTACAGGCGGTTATTGGTGTAGTATGCCTTGTTGTGCTGCTCAATAAGTCTTTGAAGGTATGTAGCCCTTCATGCGCCGGTATGT